CGAGGAAGAAGAAGACAGTGGCCATGCGTGTAAGCGACCCACGAGCCGGTCCAACTAGATAAGTGGAAACGACTTTTCAAATATTACGTTTTCAACTTAAGAAAGCGCACCCCTCTGCGTCTTTTGCACGGAAAAGGCTTTCGCTATTATGAAGACGTACTTCTGAGAACACGTTTCTCTTTTTCAGCCCGACGCCGAAGCCACTATTTTGTGAACGTTCACCGGTTAGCACAGAAAAAGAATACTTTTTATTTATTTTCTGCCTACCGAACACACGGGCGTATCTCCGCAACCATAACTCCGAATATGGTGATTCCAAAGCCCACATCTTCGTCTCGTCGAGCCCGTCATATTGGTAACATTTTCATAAGGTGTTCATACTATGCAAATGACCATTTTGCCCTTGCCCCTAATCATCCTCCTTCGAGGGAGAACCCTTTCCGGCGAATGCTATGATTGATCTGTTGATATCATATTAATCCTTCTTAACCTGTAATTGCCATGCTATTGTCTCTCTTGATTGCTCTTGGTTGTTGTGATCTTGCAAGTACATTCAATGTACTGACCTGGCGTGTCATGCCAGTTTGCAGGTCATGCCGGATTTGCGTGCTTGTTTGTCGTGGATTCCTTTGTTTGCCAGCTAGGATATGCGTTCCATCCAGAGTCCCTGCGGAGTGGAGTTCATCATCGTTGCCGCTGTTCTGCTGCTAGAGTCATTCCGTTGCTTCATGTTGTTCTGCTGCTTGCATGGGGCAACCGTGGCAGGCGTAGTGTCGCCATGCTGATGTAATCGCCTTGTATCCATATAGCTTGTAATAAAGAGCTGATTTTTTCTATGCTAAGCAGGGCCGTATTCCAGAAGACTTCTCCTTGATCTTTGGGCAGGAATATGGGGCGTTCCGGTTTCTCTGAGCCAGGGTGCCATAAGGCTTGGTATCAGAGTAGGTCTGGCTGTAGGACACCCTAGCCCGCACGAGCGTTAGAAAGCGGTAGTATAGAGCCCAGTTGGTTTGTTGCACTTGTTTGTTGCATTTTCTTGTTGCATAGCATGCATATAGATTATTATCTGGTCATTGATAGTGATCTTGTGAGTGTAGGACGTACCGGTTTCGATCTGTTGCCTGCATCTTCCCTATCTGCATCCCTGCTCTTCGATGTTTGCGTCACCTCTGTCCCAGCAGAGTGATGCCCTGGTACCAAGTGTTCCAGACACCATTTGCCGGAGTTATGCTCAGATATCGCGTCCATATATTTTCCGCCATCCACCCATATCGATTTGATGACATACTTGTCTCTATCACAAACCGGGCCCTTCATGCCGTCTGTTTGGCAACTCTTAGTGATCTTTGTTATCAGAAAAGGGCAATGTCAGCAAGCCCTGCTTTCCACCGCTATCCTACCTTGTCATCCCGTTCTTTGGACATGTGTGATTCCCTTTCGTACGCTTGATGATGATGTGGTCGTGACCTTTGTGTTCCACCGCATGATCACCAAGACTGTCCTCGCCTCCGTATCCATCGAGTGTTCAGTCAGTGCTTGGTGTAGCCTTGGTTACGCCAACTCCTTCCACACAAGGATTCACTTTCGTGCACACCGCCACAACATATTAGACTGTAATACTGGAGTTTCTGTGAGATTGGTGTGCTTAGGTATGCATGCATATTATTATTGTGAGTAGCAGTAATATGTGATGTTGCTTGATTAATTATATTACTAGTACAAATGCCCATGCGTTGCACCGGGCGAAAAACAAAACGCAAATCCTGCTCCACGTGCCACTACGAGCGACTTCTTATATCCAATTCTGACAAACGTCGGAAACAATGTTATCCTCATTCTCTATAAGGTGAACATGCCTTTGTGTTGCCACTGGTTGAATTATCGCTTTTCGAGAGAAACATACATTGTGATTGTTGCATATACATGCTCTTTGAGAGTTTAATAATTTATGTAACTAAATTACCATGAAATCAAATTTCATAAGATCTATATGTTCATACAAATTTAGTATTTTCTTTTATTTTGAGAAATGTAACTAAATTTGTAATAGTAACAAAAATAGTTAAAAATCTACACATATACTATCAAAGCTTTAAAGAAAAAAAACTCAAAGCAGTAGTAGATAAGCACAAATGGTCACAAATTTATTTTTTCTTGGTGCACTAAAATAAACGCAGAATAAGTTTAAAAACATGAATGAAATGTTTGCAAAGTTTGGATATGAAAAGAGAAGTCTGCAAGGTTTGCGGTTGCAAGGCTGCTTGTGCTTCACGATATGTCCGTGAGTATCAGCTAGTTAAGTAAAGAAGATTCTACATACTCCTGCAGTTAGACTTTTAGTTGGAGACCTGCAGATAGAAAGCATGGCCTGCCACCGTCGGTACTGTGATCGATAAAGAAAGTTATGTAATCCTTATAGCATCTTATGTAAGACACCTGCACAGCAAATTAAATGCATGAAGAAGAAAAAAAAATACTAAACTCAAACCAGAAAGAGAAACTAAGATAACTTAATGGATTCCTAATCCCAGTGTATATGCATTTTGCATTCTTTCAGGCTAAAAAGTTCTAGCAAACTGAAAGCATCACCAAGTAACCACGATTCTAATCAAACATCATGCATGTCAAGCTGCTATCTCCGCCTCCCCAATTAATGCCCGCCACTGTCAATGGCACATTAGAATCGCAATTCTTTCCTTCCATCCCCATCCACAGACTATGCAGATTTGTTTTTTGAACTTCTGAAAGTTCGAATTCTTAATCCAGTGACTCTTGTTCTATCTTTGTATGCATGAGGTAAAAAAAGTTACTGAGCAGTACCTCAAGAAAACCAGAAGGTTATGCAATGTTGAACTAAAACCACGACAAGAATTATGTAACGGAAGGAGTACAGAGTGATGTCAGTACGTGATGATTATTTCCTGGACATAATGTATACTGAGTGTAGTTTTCAGATGACAAACAGTATAAGCATAGATTCAAAATAGAAAGATGTCTAAACTAAGACTAACGACCACACCGACTGAACAAATCTACTGGAAGATCAGAGAAGTTGTGCAACAATAAAAGCAAGACCAGGATAGAATAGTACACAAGGTTGTCACACTTACATCAGAATTACTTGTGCTCCTATCATCAACCCTCACTGTCATAGAATTCACCTCAGCTTTTTCAGCAACGGAAGAAATGTAGTTACCTCCCTGCAAAAAAGTTGAGTTACCAATTGCAGGAAACAAATTGCACCACAAGGAAACATATTTATTGCCATGAAACATGATCAAAAGGACCAAATACTATTTACTCGGATTGTTAGTGTAATCCTACCATATCCTTAAAGCCTAAAGAAATTGGCTGTGAACCACAATAACCAAACAACAATAAAAAAATGAATTATTCCTATGCAAGCTTACAGATATATTTTAGTGGCTGTTGCAGAGTTAAATGGGTTACACAGAGAATTACATAGTAGACTATATATGCTGAAGAACCATGAGCATGGAGATGTACTAAATTTTTGACTATCAAGTAGAAGGGAAAGAAGTAGAGATAGCACAGTAGAAGAGGAAGGGGCAGCTCCAATATATCTACTGGGAAGCCTTAAAAAATAAGAATCCTACTGTACTAAGCTCACAAAATTGGCTCGGAAGATCGTATGATTAGAATAACCAATAGGATTTTACCTGGTTGAAGCACACAACAAAAGACTCCATACATTTTCTTCAAGAAATTCATTGAACGTTCGGTGTGCGACAACAATGGAACCATAACTGGATTAGTAATGCCATAAAAATGTAATCGTATGTCAATATCTGCATGTCACCTATTTTATGTTTGATTCCCTCTATAGTGGCAGATAAGTTTGTTCTTATCTTTCAGACTGAATTGTACAATAAAAATGTTGTGTCAGATTTAAAAATCTTATTTATGTTGGATGCCCTCTATAATGAACAAGAACTGATTTTTATCTATCCTGAGAACAACTGGATCGGCATTGATCAGTTGCAAGTGCAAGCAGGCTCGGATAACCTGTAATTGAATGCACGTGCACAAAATTTTCTGGTACAATAGTAGTTACTTCACAGAACAATAAGCTAAATGTTGTTACAATTTCTGTTCTAATAAGTTGAAGGTTTTGTTAGCATGACCAACTTTAGTTCAGGTGTCACAAAAAACATTAGTTCAAGATTTTGAAACAGTTAGTCAGCTTAACCGACAGACTAAATCCATACTTCACTCACCACGGGCATCCAAGCATCCAGCTTATTTGCATATTGAATTGCAAATGTAATCAAAGGGGCGTAGGGATGGAGGTGCAAGTTAGCCCTGACAGGCATAAAATTCTGGATCACACCCACATATCCTGGTCCAATTTTCCAAGAGGGGTCTTCTTTATCACCCAGATGTCTGGTGTTAAGAAGTTCTCTTGGAGAGTGTCCTCATTCCACCACCTACTGTCAGCAGAAAACAGTTCACTCAGCTTCCTCACCCTTGAAATTCCCTGGGATGTGCCATCTCAAATTCTCTTCACTAAGCCTATTTCAAGTGCTCTCCTCCTTTTCAGGATTGCCTCCCAAGTTGTGCGAACTATTGAGCTTAGATCTCACGTTAATAAAAAATCACTATTAGAAGTACAATGTGCAGCCAATTGGTGTGCTAAAAAAACTAGAGCACCTTGTAACAACAAACCGGTTAACTGCTCCCCTATAGAATGTTTTGCCACCAAATCTGCACTTCTATTTTGATCTCACTTAACTAATTGACAATGTGTGCCACAGTAGAGCAATCTGAATCCCTGCTTTAAACTGAACTAATCCTATGTATATGATTATGACAAGAGTTGCAAAGCACGTGATTTTACAGTTAGCTTTCTACTAATCGCTAGACTATCACAAATCACGGTTCCATCTGTACCAGAATCTCGGTCAAGAAACCAATATAAAGTTGCCAAGCCAGAGTCAGTGTATTAATCCTCTATCTCTTTTATTCATTTAGCATTCACATTAGTAAAAAAGTACAGGCAGGTAAAAAAGTACAGGCAGGTAATATAGCTTGATGTCACAGATTTGCTTACAGCTAGGTGTGGTTAGCTTGAGGGTGCGGAAGCAAATGTCGTAGAGCGCCTTGTTGTCCAGCACCATGCACTCGTCGGCGTTCTCCACCAGCTGGTGAACCGAGAGAGTGATGTTGTAGGGCTCGACCACCGTGTCAGAGACCTTTGGAGATGGGAACACGGAGAAGGTGAGCATCATCCGGCCCGGGTACTCCTCCCTGATCTTGGAACCGGTGCCCCCGCCGAGGGAGTGGCACACCTGGAAGCCTCACGACAAGCACATGAACAAAAGTCAAAATCGCTGGCCAGAATCTGCGGAACGAAGTAACTGGAGCGACTCCTCAAGAAAGGGGAAAGTACCTTGGAGGCAGCGCAGTTCTCGGCCTCCTTGCGGACGACGTCGAGGACGGAGTCGATGAGCTCCCCGCCCTCGGTGTAGGGGCCCTTGGCCCAGTTGTTGCCGGCGCCGGACTGGCCGAAGACAAAGTTGTCGAGGCGGAAGATCTGGCCGTAGGACCCCGTGTGCACGGAGCCCATGGTGTCGGGCTCGACATACATGAGCACGCACCAAGGGAGTTGGGAACACACGCTCCTGGTCGCCGTTGGCATACATGAGATGGTGGAGGCGCCGGTCGGCGTGCGGGATGGAGCCGGCGGGGACGGCAGCCACGGTGCCGCCACTGGCTTCCGAGTCTCCGTGGAGGAGGGGGGAGAGGTGGGCCTCGATGTGCTCCACACCGGCTGCGTCCACATCCTCGTCCCGCAGGTAGACAAGGCAGGCGAGGCGGCCGCGATGCGACCATGCCCTGGCATCGACGACGCTGCAGCTCATGTCGTCTAGCACGTCGAACACCTCGGAGATGAGCCCCGTGCGGTCGGCGCCCGTCAGATCAAGCATGGTGGCCGAGGCCGCCTCTGGCGACACCGTTTGTTCGCCCGAAGAGGCGAGGTCGATAGAAGAGGCCGGGGTTGTGAGGGACAGCGGCGCAGCGTGGCTGGGGCTTCGGGGTGGCGCGCGGAGAGGTGCGACGGTCGCTGCTTGTGGTCGCCGGCGATGGCGTGTGGCGAGTGAGGCCGTCGAAGCGGTGCAAGGAGGCGCGAGGCACGGGCACAGGAGCTCAGGCGCGAGCGTGCCTCTCCGCGCCGTCCATCCTCCCGGCGAGCGCACTCCATCCTCCGGTGCGAGGCACGGCGGCCGTCGGCGCACGACGGAATGGGCGTAGCCACCGGCGCAGAGTGGATAAGAGGAAGGAAAGGACTGCGGACTGAATTGAAATGCCTATAGGGTTTTGTTTGTAAAAGTGAAACATTTTTTCTGGGTGCCACTAAAACAGCGACTGCGGGTTGATTTCCTGTAAATCGAGGGGCTTTTTTGCAAAACAACCACGATGGACGACCAGAAGCAATAGCTGGTTTATTAGTAGGTAAAGAAAAGATAAAGATTATTTGTATGTTTTGTTTTATTTTGTTTTTGTCATTTCTTTTGCTTTTTTCTTTGGGCCTTCGGTGTTACATATTTTCCCTTTATTAAAGTTGCTCGTCAACCGACATTGGACCCAAAGAATCAGTAAGGAGTTCAAGTATTTGGAAACTCAGTTAAACAAAATGGAATTCTCAGCCCATTGGAGTGAATGGAGAATATATGACCATGATGCTGACCATCAAGTTTGCATTAATGTGCACTCCTCACAACAGTATGGATAATCAAGTCTCCCTCAGTTTGCACTCATCATAGCAGAAATGATCCAATCAATAAGGAGATAAATTGTGTGCAAGTAATCAACAACAGAAAAATTAAAGTGATATAGATGTGGTAATCGGTCCGCATATCACAATGAGAAACTTCTAGTGTAAGCAATCCAGTCTTCCCTCGCAAGCTACCAGAGAAGCTTCTAGTGCAAGATTCCTCTAGCTTCCTCAGTACGATACATGGATGACTTCCCGTGCAAGGTACTCTGTCTTCTGTAGTAAGAAACTGCAAAAGCTTCTGGCATAAGCATAAGCCATCCAATCGTCCTCGGTATGGCATTGGTGCAAGATTACACCGTGAATTGACAACATTAAGCTGTAAATCCCAAGAATATGATCTGCAAAAGTTTGTTCAGAAGCAAGAATCAGTCAGAACACAAGTCTTCCTCGGGAATCTAATTCTCATATATATGCGGTGATCATACCACCAAGGTCTTGCAAGTCACTCGAACAATGATGAATCTGACCACCACAGGAGTATTGTTAAAAGAAGGAAGTCAGATATACACCTCAGTGTGACAAAGGACTATGAAGATTGACGACAACACTGAGCTCTGTACAAGTACCCGTTAACCTGGAATATGATCCTGATGAGCCCTTGTCGACTTTTCTCTGGTAACGGCACCACACCTGTGTTCTGAGCTATTTTTGGCAACCGGGGTGGATGCCAACTTTATATTTCTCTATTCAACAACTGTCATGAGTCCTGAGCTGCTTTCCAGCCGTCTCATACAACTGTTGAGTTTCTTTTTGTGACAGTGGCCCTTTGCTCTGAGCTACTTTTCGGACGTCTTAGGGACCTGTCACATTCTTCTTATCAACACGGTCTCATGCTCGGAGATGCTTTTCGGCCGTCTTGAGCCGTGGTTGAGTTATTTCAGCGACGTCCCAGATCTGAGTTGTAAAGAGCGTTCTGGTGGCTACTTATTTATTTGCCGATTTCCTACAAGGGTTCAGATGATCATTTCCTACGATTAAAACTTGAAAGGCGATGAACCTGCCATGTTACCATGTCAGGAGATGAGGATAAAGGTATGCATGTCGAAATATTCCCCCTGACAGTACCTATGGTCCCACAAAGAATATATATATGGTTAAGCTCCTCTCAGCAAAGGATCCAGACAAAGAGGCCAATAATGAAGGAGCAAACCCGGCAATATAGGTATGATAATAATTGCATGACCAACATGGTGCAAACACTCAGGATAGTCTGATTCAGTATCGATCATCATGGGTATACACCTAAGGGGTCTACTCCACTCTGGTAAGGACCTCATATCAAGGTAACCCATTCAACCAACTGTTATGGTCAGAATTGTCAGTACCGACTATCCAAGTCTGTCATGTCAGACCAAATGCCAGCTCAGCAGTTTGATTCCAGCGACTATGGTAAAGCATCACCCAGCCTACTATCCCCATCGACATACCGACAGAATGAATAATCAGAAGGGTGAATAACGGTCTTGAGACATGTTCCCTCACTTATGAGAATCATCAAAGGATATCCTGTCATGAACAAAAAATTCTTCTGCCAGCACCACAGCCAATCAAATATGTGGATACTATCATATAAGGCCGTACCCCTTTATGCTGGCCACGACAGGAGACAGTCAAATATTTGGTATGGATCTGACACTCAAGGCAGTGGAGGCAGTCAAGATGATTCAAAAACTCCGTGAGAAATCAGTATCAGTTAGAAAGAACAGTTATGATCCACAACACTGTTTTGAACCCGAAGGACCTATAGTTAGATGAGAAACCCAATGCAAGGAGTAAAAAGATTGGGTGTCCACTAGAAAATCTATTCACAACTTCATGGAAGGTTGCCAGTGCTGGATGGCATATCTACCGGGAATCACTCTTGGACTTGTGAGACAGGAATATATCTCAATCATGATAACTTGCCACTCAGCTAAGTCAGCAGATATGAAAAGAATTGGAGCCAGTATAAGGATGAAACTATAAGGTACAATTTGTCAGAATGTGGATACAGTGACGCAACCCACCCCAGGGCCAGGTAGGCAGTCATATGAAATTCAGTGGGGAACAATCAATAAAGGAAAAAGGATACCCAAGTTGGAAACGGTTTCCTTAAGTCAGTATATTCATACTTGTTCCCTGAGCAACCAAATCTCGAGGGTGATATTTCTTTAAGGGGGGAAGGTTTGTCACAACCTGATTTTTGGCCCTTCCTTTTTCTTTTAATTTTCTGAGGTTTTGCTTCAGTTTTCTTTTTTCCGTGGCTATGTGGTCTGGAAACTGGAGAAGATGACCTCTTCTTCCTTTCCAAAGTGGCTTGTCATCCTCATATCCATCCCAAGACCTTGCCATTTGCATCCTAGCCCAACCCCGATATTCTTGTCCTTGGGAATATTCCTTTTTCTATTAAAGGAATGATCCTTTTTGCCCTAGGTTGTGAAGCAACCTACATTTCCATCACTCCTAAAATTCCCAAATAATTCTCATAAATTGTTTGGGTCATATCTTGCTCAAATATGGCAAAATATTTCATTTGCCATGTTCCTCATCATGCTCAATTAATTCCTTTCCTATTCTATCCTAAATAGCAGTTTGTGAAACAAGTAGTATTTACCTTTGCCCAATTGACCTAAACATTTTTGGACACCTTTTCATGTCCAAATAATTGCCTGATGCCAAAATTCAACTTAATTTGCCTAGTGAATATTCCTGAGCAATTTTTCAAAGTTCCTATCCGAGGGAATTGTTTGTGAAGAAAGTACTAGCTAGGATGGTCCAAATGAGTTGAAATTTTGCATGATCCTTCGTATCATCAAATCAAATCACTCCACAAGATTTGAGCTCATGCTATGCATCCATGTGAGCATACCTTCAAATCTTTGTTTCTGTCCACATTTTCAGCTAGTGAAGCAAGTATATTTTATTTTGCTCCATTACTTTTTTCAGGACCTTCTCCTACCCATATAAACTTTCTCCACCAAGGTTTGGATCAATCCACCTATCCATTTGCCATGTGCAATTTTTCCAAGTTTTTGACCATATTGGAGCTTTGTGAAGCAAGTACCATTTTGGTGTATCCAAATGGTATGAAACTTTTACAAAGTCTTCATATGATCAAATAACTCATCTATTCCAAATTTCAGCTCAATACAAGCTATTATGTGAGTGCTACTTCAAATTTTGCTATTCTTGTCAGTATGGCACTTTGCACTTCAAGTACTAGCTAAACCCCTTTGTATGAGCTCAAACTTTGTCATCTTAATCACCTTAGTGAGTGATCAATGCCAGTCAAATCTCATCCTTGAGCACCAATCATGTGAACCATAGAAAGTTCCAAACACCTAGTTGTGCATTTGGTTTTTTGCTACCTGTGATCACATGCATGGCCACTATGTGTGGTTTATTCCACATTTGCATTATGCTCTTCTTCCCTTGTCCCTCAGAAATGATTTGGCCGATCTCTGTGCCCTGTATGTGCCAGCTCACACGGTGACCGCCGCCATGGCACGCCATGGACGCTAGCTGAGCGTCATTTGCTCGGACCCCTCCCCGGTTCATCGTGCTCGTGCGCCTCACCATGTCCAATAGCTTCCACGTGATCCCCTGCATCACCCTATGCCGCTGCCCCATCCGGACTCGCCCTGGTTGCGTCGCTTTCGAGCTCGCCCATGCCACTAACCTCCACTGCTCCTCCTTGTCCCGTTGCCGGAGCTCTCCCGAGCTTTCTCGAGCTCGCCCGAGGCCTCCCGCGCCTCATGACGCTCCTAGACAAGTATCCCCTCCCGCCCCGTGCCTATGCTCCCACCAGCGCGACGGCACACGTGTCACCGCGGGTGCATCCGGGCACCGAGTTGCCGCGGCTATTTAAGCTCATCCCGAGAGCCCTCGAACTCACCAAGCTTCTTCCCATCCTCCTCTACGCCTCCCCAACCCCTCAATCCACCCCCGGAGTCCCTCGGTGCTCTTCATTGCCGCCATGGCTGCCGCGAAGCTCGGCTTAAATACAATCTATCCGGTCCCCTCCTCCACCCTCTGACCTCACCAGCGTCTTCCCCTGACGCCGCCGCTCCTCCCCACTCCCTCCT